CTTTGCCTTTGTTTGGAGATCTACCTTAGCGGCAGATCCGTTCACTTGATTTCGTTTTGGGCCAATATACCGGGGGATTGGTCCCGAGGGGCTAGGTTCAACATGAAGCTCAGAGTCTTTACGTCCAATCCATCCAGCCATCGATTGATGACATATGATGTGAACATCTGAAATCCCTGCATTTTTTTGGCGCCCCAAGGTGCGTGGGGCGGAGCAGGACAAGGCCGAGGGCGTGGGGCTCTTCCAATCGGGGCAGTACTTCAAGTCCTACCAGGTCAGAGGGCCGCGGAGGGCCCCGGAGCGTTTTTCTGAGATTGGGGAGCTTTCCAACAGGGAACTGGAGCATCAAACATGGCAGCTACTGGTAAAGTTGTAAAGAAACGCGGCAATTTTGGCAAGGGATCGACATTTTTGATGAGAACATCACCTACACATGGTGGTTTCAATTGACATGTTACATCACCGGAGGGCAAGCAGTTGATGGGCAAACATTCCAAGAGTGGTTTCAAACATTGTCTTCAAAGCCACCCCAAGACTTGGATGGTCTCACGACCACAAAAATGGGTGTTGGTTCAGAGGTAAGACATCTTCAAAACTGCATCATGGAGGTTGCATGTGTCCAAAGGTGGTGGAGAAATTGTCCCATCAATATAGAAGTTTTAATGGGAACTTGATTCTAAACAGCAAATTCACTAGTACCTATTGTTATTCCGGTATTCTCCCGTCATTCTTCCGTCAGTATCCCATTATTACCACCTCATCTCTTTAGACAAACCCACTACATCTTATTATGATTGCTTAAATCCCTATATTGCTTGAATCCCTATTTGCAGTGGTTATACATCAGCAATATCCCCAAAACCATTTCTAAAGCCACACCCTTTCTAGTACCTATTCTTATTCCATTATTCCATTATCAATCATTATCCCACTATTATTGGTTAATAACCCACAATTACTGGTTACCCTCTGGTAAACATACAACAAACTACGGAAAATCACATTTTTTAATGGCTAAATCAACTATTTCAATGGTCCATTTTCCACAACTCTAAACGTTTACCGGATGGTATTTTCCAAGAGATATGAAAGGATGACTATGGATATCAATGGATTAACGATTATGTGTGGTGAATATCCTGCTTCAATCCATGGTTAAATGATCAAAAAATGGATATTAAGCACAATCATGTTAAATGATCACTATGGATATTAAGCATATTAACCATTCAATCATGAAAATATCCATGGTTAATATCCATGGTTAATATCCAGGTCTGGAGGCGTAGCATCGATGCCCTGGAGGCCGCCGAAAGCGAGGACTCCGCCCATGGATTTTTAACGCTAAAGGAAGGGGGGGGATTTGGTGCAGATTTTATGGCCATTTCATGGCGAAAAGATGGGAAAATGATGCTAAAACTGCTAAAAAGCCTTGTTTCAGGGCTATTTTCATGACCATCACATGATTCTCAATTGAGAAAATAGATGCTAAGACTGTTTTTTTTGGGGAGGGGGTGGGGGGAGGAGGAAATTTTGAGACATAGCCATAGTCATAGTCAGAAGACAAATCAACCATGGAATGACCTCTCATTTGATGGGCTCCGAAAAGGTAAAGCTGGACTGCGCTTTTGGTTTGTCCCAGTCTTTGAAAAATCACCATATGTATATCATTGTGTATCAGTATATCTATATAATCTATATCTAATCTCTCATCTCTCATATCTAATATCTATTTCTATATTTATATTTGCATTTTTTAGATCTATATCTGATATCTGATATCTAATTTCTAATTTTTAATAGCTTTATCTATATCTATATCTATATCTACATGGATATCATCTATATCCATGTTGGGTCTTGAGTTGAAAGAAACGGGCATTGGGGGTTGACCCCAAACAGCTCCCAAATTGATTCTCACCTTGCAAAAATGGAACCCTAGAGCACCAGGACGATTGTGATGTGTGCCCTCCGGTGATTTTTCATGATAGCTAAAAGAAAGAACATGGTCCCATTTATAGATTTACCTCATTAAAATGGTGGGTTTTCCATAGGTTTTCCACATTTACCAATTAAAAATGGGTAGTTTTTCCATTAAAAACTGTGAAATGACTGGAGCTTGGCCGCTTGGCCCAGGAGGGTCGGAAGATGTTCGTGGCCTTGTGCTCCAATGCGGCGCAGGAAACAGGGTGGCGGACTCTGAACAAAACAGGGGCATAATATGTACCCTCTGGTTATGTCAAAATAGCTATTGGAAAATCACCATTTTCTAGCTGGGAAAATCCACTATTTCTATGGCCATTTTCAATAGCTATGTTAAATTGCCAGAGGGTATTCATTTGAGTCCTTTACTTGGTCTAGTTCTATCTATTTCTAATTCAACTGCCCAGATCATTGACTAATATTGACGTCAATGATATACTATCATTATATAACTATAGTAACTGTTCTAGATCTATCATTTCTAATCTGTGACTGTCATTACATAATACGATCATTCTAGTTGATACTAGATAATATCTAATAGTTCTATCATATACTATCACTATATAACTATTTTACATACCCTCCGGTTATTTAACATAGCCATGGAAAATGGCCCATTGAAATAGATGGTTTACCTATTAAACATGGGTGGATTTTCCATGGCTATGTTAGTCATAACCAGAGGGTATATCCCATTAATATCCCATTAAGTCACTATAAAATCCCATTAAGTCACTATAAAATCCCATTAAGTAACTATTTTACATAACTATTCTCAACTGCTTCGCTGCATCGCTAGGCGCTGCTGAAGTGTCCGGAGGTGGAAGGTGCGGCCACAGAGATGGCCTGTTCCATGGCCGACAAGGCGCCGCAAAAAGGGGGGGGCCGTTCGGGGGGGCCCGGGGGGGCCCGGGGGGTTGGGAAATTTGGGATTTCATGTGGGTAAAACGTGGTAAAACATGGTAAAACATGGTAAAACATGGTAAAACATGGTAAAACATGGTAAAACATGGTAAAAAGAATCATCAACCCATTTGGGAATGGTTCGGAGACTTTTGTCTGATTTATATTTAGGACATTTCAGGACATTTAACGGAGATTCTTGTGTATTTTTGATGAAAGCTTCCAGGATCACTGCCATCAAGATGCTTCAGTTCAAAACTAGCGACCCCGCAAAATGGATGGTCATTTGCATGGGACGAATTGCCTGCACATGATTTTGTTAAATGAAAAAATGGCCATGTCAGCCCCAGGGCAGATCCTTTGTAGCACCCAACTGAGGCTTGGGGTTGTAGATGTAATAGGGGAGCTTTCATAGGAAGTCAAAAGATCGACAGAGACACACACACACACACACGGACACGCACACGCACACATAGACAGGCGGATATACATTGACTGGAAATCATAGACCAACAAACCACGTGCAGCCATGGACCTAGACCATATGTGCCATGATTAAAAGCTTGAGAAAATAGCAATTCTTTTCGGGACGGTCCCCCCTCAAGAACAACGGCTTATATTCGAAATAAAGCCGTCACCTGTTCTCCTTCAGTTCATGGCAGAGTCTTCGCCGTGCACCGCGGCTGTTGGGCATCAAGGGGAGGACCAGATCCGAACCTACAGCTTCTGTGATTCAACTGATCCTCCCTGTCATTTGATGCGGGGTCCCCTGAGGGGTTGGTGAAGCAGGTGGAGTGATTTTGGGCTCCCGTCAAACACATGGCTTTGAATAAAAATCGCCCCATTTCTAGCGCATGGTGGATCATGATTTCCAGCTACTTCCGCAACTTCCGCATTGCCATAACTTGGGCATCTTCTAACTGTTGGACTAACCTGCTACCCTGGCCTTGGGGCCAGGACTCCTGTCGCTATTCGCTCAGGACTCGCTTAATGAAGTTGGCTGGGTCCCCGGCGGGCTGGATCAATGAATGATCATGGCCTCACATGGCGACGTCACTGGATGGTTGGTAGGCTTATAGGCTGTTACAGGGGTATCTATCGCCAAATGGCTCTATTTCAGGTTATACATGAACAATCATATACACACACACAAATTATGTATGCATATTTGCGTTTATATAGTGATATATGATATACACACACAATGCATGTACTGTATGATTATATATGTATAGTGAATCACAATAGTTTACCCAGAACTCTTGCAGAAAGAAACAGACCAGGCCCTGCGAATGGGAGATATCAGATTCAGCAATGCCCCTCTTGGCTCGACGGGACGGGTCACCTGACCAGGCAACGAGAAGACCGTGTTAGTTTTGCAGCGTTATCTAGCAGAGGTCATGACAGATAGTGGCTGATGGCTTATTTGTATCTATTTGTTTTTGCAAGACTGTTAAACAAATATCTACTGGCTTATTTGTTTAACTGTTGAACTATTAACTCTTCTGTTCTCTTTTGTCATGGTTTCTTGTTCTAGCTTTTGGTTCGTGGCTTCGCCCGACCATAGCTGCTGTGAAGGCACGGCTTTTGTTTTCAAACTTCAGCGGTTGTAAGGTTGAACTTGTTGATTGGGCTGTGGTGTGGGCTAAATTTACTGCATCTTTTTCTTTGAGTTGTCAGGGGGCTGAAGTTTAGAGATATCACACTGGGAAAATTCCACATGTTCATAGAAAAGGGCCTTTGGCCTCACCTAAGCTGTTGAATGCCTGAAAAAAGTGGCATTTATGGCCCAAATCGGGCCTCCCCCAACTTCAGCTTCAAGCATCGGACTGGTGCTCAGCCTCGCCTCACAACTTGGTTCAAGCCCGGTCAGCTTGGGGTCGATGCATCCGATGCACTGCCCCCAAGAGGCACGCCCTGCCGGTGCTCTAGTCTTTCGAAAGCATAATCATGTTCAACTGCCACCACACATCCCATTCCAGTATATACACACATATAGAATCATAAAGGGATATATTCCAGTACATCGTTATTAAATATAGATAACTATGATTAAACCAAGACTTTCCATAGCATTTTCAGCGCCCCATCTCGGCAGCGACATGGGACACATGGCGCGCAGCTGGCTGTTGGCTGCTGCGGCGCTGTTCTCCTTGGTCCAAGGGCAGGTACAAACTCAGGCGATCCTCCGTACAAGAATGGCCATGAAATCTGGGACTGTGGCCTGCAAAAGCCTTAAAAAAGCAACAAGAATGGTGGTTTGATGATGTTCAATGATTTGGATGGCTTTCAAAGGGTTTCAAACCATGAAGCAGTGACCTCTGGATCAAGATTTTTTGCTAAAGGACCTCATGTTTTTTAATTGGATTGGGGTGATGATCCCAAAATGGCTCCCCCGATCATATCAAGTATACTAAGCACCCTCCAAACGAAGCCCTGGTGGAATGTACTGGGTCTTTTTGGTCCATTCATAACTTTGGGTCCCAAAGATTGGGGGTATGAAATATCATGGGTGGATTTCATCAGAATGGTGCCAATTAATTTTGGTCAATGATTGATACATATTGAAGTTTCAAACATGCCGAAAATCATGATGAAAACAGGGTGAAAATCTGCAGGCGGAGCAAGACTTGTTGGCACAAGCGGATGCTCGGTGTTTTTACGGGTTGTGGGAGGGTCAACCTTGGCAACCTTGGACAGGTAAATAGTTCGCTATATCTGGGGTATATATATATTATATGTATAATATGCATAAAACTCATGAAAAGATAGATCAGGACCAGAATAGTGAGGGGTTTGCCAAGAATCCAACTAATCTTATTGGTAAACACTTGATTATTCCATCAAATTATCAATGGTATTATCCGAATTATCTGAATTCTCCCCCAAATATTATCAATAAATATCAATAAATATAAAAAATTAGGTTCCCCCAATATGAAATCTCCTCCAATATGGGACCCCCCAAAAAAATCGTGTCCCGTGCATCGCCGAGAGCTCCGAGGATCGCACGGTGGAGACCTTCTGCCCGGTGGATTTTGTGCATTTGGACGTTGCAGTAGCTCGCGCCAACTTGCTGGTGAGCGCTGGGCAGGTGCCAGGGGGAAAAATGGGATGGATGACGAAACACCATAAAAACCATGGGATTTTTGAGTGGGAAAAGAGGAGGGTTATGGATTCTATGGGACAGATGAGGTTCTGACCTTCTAAACTAAGACTATGTGTTTTGTTGGATTACGGAGCGTTTTTGTGAATGCAGTGCGCCATATACGCATGTATAATGTATACGCTATATTTTGAGACAAAGCCATTGGCACTGTCGATGATACTCACTTTTCTTGGAAAATGCGGAATCTCCCCCAAAATGACATGATTTTCAGGTTGCAGGTGACGCATCTCATGAAGACAATCCAATTATATCATATTATATCAAATGGGTATGGGTCAATACCTATAGATACATTTTTAGTGGGATGAACATCCATTTACCAGCTATTTTGATGTTCACCAGGGGTACAGGGTTTTGACCCATCCCCATATGATATCCAATTGATGTTTCACCATCCCGTTTGTGGCGCAGTTTATCTCCCAGATTGTCTTCATGATGCAGGAAAGTCTGCACGAAGCTCTCTAATGATTTTCATGGGATTTTTCCGAGGATTTCATTACCTCAAACGATCCAAGACCCAACCATCAGGTCACTGAAAAAAACACCAAAGAAAACAGTGTATTTTCCATGCAACCAGTGGGGTTTTCTGCAGGACAACCCCATCTATGAAACCGTGATGGACGCGGATATTGTCACCAATGGCGTGTCCACCGATGTCCTGTTGGAGAAATTCGAAGAGTCGCTAGGGGCAGCAAGGGCATCACGGGGGTCAGTGGGGGGTCACGGGGGTCAGTGGGGGGTCACGGGGTGGTGGGTTTGGGCAGTGTGGTAAACCAAAGATGGAAAACCTGTACAGAAAGAGAGGGAGAGGGAGAGAGAGAGAGAGAGAGAAGGCGTTAATACATTTTAGCACAACGACTCAAGTGGACCGTGTCAAAATTTGGTCTGGAAGATGACTGGGTATTTTCTTAGGTTCCATGTTAAAATTTGATAAGCGTAGATCAAAATATATGGGAACAATACATTACAAGGTTTGACAAGCAAAAACTGGGAGTTTTCTGCCACAACAAATTGAAGGTTTTGATTATGGAAAATGGGTGATGCAATGAACAACAATCCAAAACGGGGATGCATCCTGAAATTGACGAGGAAACTTCAAAAATAGGCTGATCGTTGGGGTTCTTTTGTGACAGGGGCCTATGCAACAGGAAAATCTTACGGCTGAGCCCTCCATAGTTGGGGCTCAATTTCAATGGTTTGAAAAAAAATTCAACGGTAGATTTTAAAATCATTTTCAACCCACACAAATTGGTGGACTGAGACGAAGGTACAGGCCCTGCTGCCCTCAGGAATTTGGACGTGACCTTTGTTGCGGGCAAGGCATTTGCCTTTGTTCCTTGGATGGCGGTGGGGATGTCCCTGTGGAGCTTACAGTCAGGGACAAATGAAAGGATTGATACGTGAGGATTTCTAGGGAGGTATTGAAAAAAGGAGGAAGGAATTAACTTGCCAAATGTCATAATCAAGTAAAAAAATCCGCCATCTAGGATTTCAGATCCAGTAATGTTTGATTTCCTGATGTCTACTATGACTGGGGAACCTGCAGTTGTGTCACCCGGGTTTTTCAACTTCCTCCAGCAAATTCTCAATGGATTATCGGGAAGATCCAACGGACACCATGATGACCATCAAATATGGAGGGGTTTCCTGTAGATTTTCCCTGCAACCCATCAGGTGATGCTGATCCTGCTGTTGATCTTGTGGATGGGCGGCTGCTGGTGCTTTCTGTTTCCCTGCTGTATGCGTTGCTGCTGCCGTTGTTGCGAAGTGCATCACCAGCTGGGAAAGAAATGTGCCTCGGCTGCCGTGGCGATGGTTGGTTTGTCGTGGTTTATTTGGAGGTAATGCTCACCTTTTCGGTCTAACATGATGAAACTCTACAAACGCAGTCGGGTGGCGGGGTGCTTCCGTTCTTGCAACACCTGCGGAAGGTTAGGGCACATTTGTGGTTGAAAACTTGATGGTCCCGCACGGACAACAATGACCAAGTGGTTGGTGGTTTCAAACATTTTTTATTTTCCATAATGTATGGGATAATCCTTCCCATTGACTAATATTCTTCAAGATGGTTAAAAACCACCAACCAGCCAAATGTGTTGTTTGATGGTGCTTCACTTCTCGATCTTTTTCACCTATCATCTGCCCGAATGTATCCATTCTATCGCCGGCTGGTGGTTGGAAAAGCTCCCACCCTTGCTCCGAACTAGGCAAACTTTGATCCATCCGGGGGCATGTGATCCCTGACCCGCGCAAAAAATGCAACTTCAACCAGGTAGGACAACATGTTTTGTGATGAGATATATCAGTCATCTCCATTTCCTGACTGACTAGATCCCCGTCTCCTAGTGTCATGCTTAGACAAGTAGCCCTCCATTTTTTTGATGAATTACATCTTCAATTTGGGGTTGTCTCAACTTGATGCTTAGCATAACTCCCATGTGCTCATTGTTTGAACACGTTAAATACGGTAACACAATGTAAAATACCCAATTTGGCATGGTTCACTCTCACATTTGACAGTTAACTTCCAATTTTTCCTAGTGAATTCTTGTATTTTTAAAGGTTAAAAACCAAATCTTTCATGGCTCAACAGCCCCCAGCGGCTCCCAGGGTGGTTCCATGTCTTCCTGTGGTGCCTATTCCTGGCCCTGGCCGCGGGCTGCATTGCCGTCCAAGCCGTGAGCTTCGTGGCCTATAATGACATCGATCAAGGCGGGCAGACCCCCGGAATTTTTTGGGAAATCTCGGGGGTGGGGTATCCTAAAGGATGAAACTGGGCATTTTCTCTTTGTTTTTGATGTTTTCATCGGATGAATCATGGGGTTGTTTTTGGGAAACATGAGTTTTTTTTGATGACACCATGGGCATTGATGGTGGGTTTATATTCACCATGGGCATTACCATGAAATACTCACAGAATTCCAAAAGGATGTTCCTTTCCGCTAAAATGTGGAGATGGGATCTGGGTAATAGATAATCTAGCTAATATCTAGCTAATATCATCTAATATCTAGCTAATATCATCTAATATCTAGCTAATTTGCAGTTGATTCGGACTGATTCGTCATTTTTTTTTGAGATTTTCTAGCCACGGTCTTGGAGATTTCCCAGAGGCATCCAGGGCACTGCCTGCTACTCCGCCAAGTTTGTGCGCGACGCCGTGAACGGAAATCCAGCACCTGGCCATGTTTTTCACGTGGGAAATTCGCCATGAAAAATGGAAGCTTTGAATGGGAAAATCATCTATAAACCATCTATAAATAGTGAATTTTCCATTTTTGAATGGGAAAATCATCTATAAACAATCTATAAATAGTGGATTTTCCATTTTTGAATGGGAAAATCAATGATGGAACTAAACAGGGAATTTTCCATTATAGTTGGGAAAATCATGGAACCAAATATTGTAGTGAATTTTCCATTGCTATGTTTGATTACTGGGTAGATATTTTGTAGCTTCTTTTTTTTGGCGGTGGGGATAGATGATAAAAACGGCAATTCCCAGATCGAAGAAACAAGGATTCAACTAGCAAAGATGGGGAGATGTGATAGACATCTGATCTTTCTGGGGTGAAACTTCTGGAAGTTCTCGAAAGTCCTTCATTTTGCTGGGAACCCCCCCATTCCCATTCTGAATTTTCCATGAAACCGTGGTAGTTGCAGTTAAATCATAGTTAACGCAGGCAAAACGAAAACAGTCCTGTTGGATTTCCAGAGGCTTCCCAATTAAAGTCACAAATGATTTCCAACCACTTTGGAGTACATTTTTTTCCTCATTGGCGCCTGAAAAACTTGGGGAATTACCATCATTTATCATCCAATTTTCGCCCATTTTCTCAACTGTGGGATCGAATCATCGGTTTTTTTCCATGTTTTTTTCTCCCTTCCGAGCCATCTAAGTCGTTGAATTTCACGGGCTTTCTGCCCATCACCGATATGTTGGAAGAAGTCACGCTCCTCCTGGAGCCCGATTCGCCGGCAGCTGGGCTCATGGGTTGAAATCCTCATAGCTGCTGTAAGATGGGTGAATCTGATTTTTTCCAGCTAATCTTATGGGGTGCAAAATAAGTTTGTGCACGAGTCCACCTTACTGCTCCAGCCTTCTGGATCATTGAGCTGTTGAGGGCTGTGTGGGTCAATGGTCGTTCAAACTCAGCCTCAACGATCTGGTGAGAACCGCAGAAAGACCAGACGGCGTGCTCATGCTTCAAGCAAGGCAGCGTGTCCCACATAAGCACCAAACACCCCATGAGGCAACACTGCATTGCGACCAACAGCTGGGGCCAGGTTCCCAGCAAGTTCAGTCGGGCAAATGCAGCCGCCGAAGCCGTGAACCAAATTCAAAAGGGAAAGGACAATCCGTGGGGGCAAAAAGTGGTGCTGTTACAAAAGCCACGCTCAGCAACGTAGTGAACTGAGTTGCCTTTGGCCATGGGGAGTTCGACCGGCGAAGATGGACCAGCAGCGCGCTAGCCAGGCACTCTTCGGAGAACAGCCCTGGCGTTCTCCCTCTGCAAAGCCACGGAAAGGCACTGAAGCAAGCGGTCGTACTCAACGCCGGCAGGCTCATTGCTCCGAGCCGCCACTGCCGTGGCAATGGCTTTGAAAGTTTGAAAGGCCATAGGGCCCCAGCCCCCGCCACAAGCTTCAGCGACAATGGGCAAGAACTGCAAGCCTTCCGCCCCGCAGCTGGCCAGTCTGTTCTGTGAGCACTTTTTGACTTCGTGCTCAACCACAGCATGTTGGCCGTTGGCGGCTGTTTGGGCCAGGGACCCCAGCCGCATGCCTGAGGTCACGTCGAGGTCCAAGGCAGGGCCAAGCAGCCCCCAATTGCCAATCCACACATCAGCGGGGCGCCTCCCCGGGCCAGCATGACCACCATCTTCAGGAGCACCTCCGTCTTCTGGGTGGGGTGGGAGAAGACCAGGTTTTTCGACTTCGGTGTGGAACTCAGCCGCCTGCGATCAGGCAGCGACCAGCGTCCGCAGGCTATGGTGGCGCTTTGTGCGGTCGCCACCACACGGGCTGCAGCAGCTGGAAATGGGCTCGGAAGGCCTCCCGACCAGGGCCAGCTGCGGTTAAACGAGAAATCAGAACCTTGTCCAGAGCCTGGGACAACTGACGTTGTCGAAGGGGAGGCGGCGGGACAGGGATCGCCCGCAGGAAGCAGTGGAAGGTAATCGGGATCTAACTGCTGGCAAAGCGGCTGGGTGGCAAGGACACTGGAAGCATATCCCGCCGGGGCATGGATGCAGGCGTGGCGCAGCCCCAGCCCCCTGCAGTGGTTGCCAAGGAGGCTTGAGCCAAGCCTCTGCAGACAATGGCCCAGTGCACACAGCTTCCAAGCAATGTCTCACAGCAGTGTCAAAGGTCTCCATGGCAGAGCCCAAACAAGTTGACGGGGTAACCCGGGTGGCATACACCACTTTGCAAAAGGACGCGCAATGGCGCAGCAGCAGGAGCCCGGTTTGGGGCTCCGGCAACTCTGCGATGGCATCCAGGAGCGGGCGGGCCTTGTCGACGCGCTGAGCCACAGTCTGCTGTTCGCAAAAAGCAACACCAACGTGAAGCAGGTGGTGGGGTTGATCGCAATACCAGGCGGGAAGACTCCTCGATCGATGGCCGGGTCCGGCCCACCACATGGGATCAGTTCACTCTATATCCACCCAATATCCAACACTGCACCGTGCAGTGTGTGCTTTTCGTTCCCTCTTTGCGCAGACTCTCAAGTGTGGCGGTTGTTTGGGTAAAGTTGCAGGATTTTTTGGTTCCTTCTGCCCCCGGTCTGAAGGTTTGGGGTTCTCACCCACGCTCTGGAGGGCGGCTCTTCCCATAAGATTTCCCCCTCCAAGTTTACTTGGTATCTTCCTTGATTCCAACAGTGTTCGATGCGTTGCTCTTCGCTCAGCTACCCGAGAGGTAAGTGGGCGTGATGGAAGCAGTAAAAGGGATCAGTTCACTCTTGGCGAGGTTGATGTGGAGCCCAACCTGGCGGGCTGCTGCCGCTAGGCGGGCAAAGCCGGCCGCTACTACCCTGTAGTCACCAGCTAAGCAAACATCGTCCAAATATGCAAAAATGAGGTGGGGCGATTGGTTCAACTGCCCTGCCTTTGCTGCTTGCATGGCTGGCTGCAGCGCCAAGGCGAAAAGCAAAGGACCCAAAGGGTCGCCTTGCTGCACCCCCGCTTCAGAAGTTAAAACATCCCCGTGAAACAGGAGGCGATTGTGGCGGCTGTAGCACCATTCCGCCCAGGGCGCCAGCCCAGGCAAGTGCAGCCGAACTTGTCGAAGGAGGGCAGCCCGGTCAACTGTGTTGAAGGCGTTGTGGAAATCCACCTTCAAGAAGACGTCGGTGGCATGTCCTCCCCGACGGTACATCCACTGCCTGGCCGTGTGCACGGCGGCCTCTCCACCCAAGGGCGCTGCAACCCCAACTTGGAGGGGGGCGAGCAGGTCCTGAGCAGAGTCCCTCATTGCCTGGCATAAACGCTTGGATGCCAGCCGCCGCAATGTTTCACCCACGGCAATTGGCCTCACATCATCCTGCCCTTTGGGTAGGGCGTGCAGGGTGGCCCCAGCCAGGTGCTGGGCCAAGTCTGCTGGCGCGTCCCCCCCGCACCAGAAGCTGCACGACACCGGCCAGGTGAACTGGCACCTCATCAGCATGGGCAGTGGCCATCGCAAGCCAGTGGGGCCCGCTGTGCTGGAGCGGCTCCACCCCTGAATGGCTCGTCGAAACCGCCGGCAGTGATGTCCGGGACATCAGCAGTGCTGGGTGGCCCTAAAGGCACCAAAGCAGGCCGTGCCGGGGCAGCCTGGGGGTGCTTGCTTCGCAGCTTGGTCACAGTGTGGCTATGCCGGGCCCGCACCACTGGATCCTCTGAGTCTTCTGGAGCATGGGCTGCACGCCGGCCGCGGGCATGGGCCTCCAAGAGCTCTTCGCGCTCACCGCCCAGCCACCGCCCACACCGCCGAAGAGTGAATTGTCCTGCTTGCTGTCGCCGTAGGGCCCCTCCACGTGGTGCAGGTCGAAGCACGGCTTTCGGGAGCATGAGCAGGTCCCACCAGGCTTCTGCCGAGTTGTGGTGCGCTACTGCGGCCAGAGCTCGGCAAGGCATTGGGCCCACGACGCACGAGCGACTTTGGGCACATGCCGAAGTACCGGTCTGCCAGAAAAAGGGCGGCGCTAGCAGGGCCACCACAGGTGCTGCAGAGGCCCCGGCTGCAGGCCGGCACCGAGGGTGGGCCCCATTGAATCGAGCGGCAAGCAGAAGGCCACATACCCGACAGTGGTCCAAGCTGTGGGCTGCACAATAAGCTGCGGGATCGCCCCCTGCAAGGTTCCAGTGGCATGGTCGTCCAAGTGGGGCCGGCTGCATGGGACCCCCATCCACGAGCGGCGCGGGGGTTGGCAGCAGGGCACCCATCCACAGGGCAGAAGACCCTTGCTTGCTCGCCGCCGCGCGGTGGAGACCGCTCACGCTCCATGGCCCCAGCATCCACCAGCATGGCGTGTGGGCCTGGGTGTTGTGCCTTTCCCACGCGCTGGCCACGCAACGGCCAACCAGACCAGCGCCGGCCGTTCTGCAGCCGCAAGGGGCCTTGCTTCTGGCCCCAAGCCCGGTTCAGGCATCTGGTCAGGTGGCGTCGCTGCCGGCGGCCAATGGCCTGCAGTTGCCCCGACCAATGTGGGCGGGGGGGCCGCCAAGCGGTCTCGACCTCACTGTTAAAGAGGGCGAGGACCCTGGCCACACCCCCCTCTAAAGCAGCGAGGGCCCCGAGGCTGGCGCCCACTTGCAGGAGCAGGAGGCCGCGCCGTGCCAGTCGCTCCATGGCTCAGGCTATTGCTAAAGATCCGTGATCATTGTAAATAAGTTTGTGTGTACGCTGTTATGTTGTGATTTTTTTGGAACCTCACTGCAAGTTTTTCTCAACTTGCAGAAGTTTAGGGCGGGAGACATCTGCGATGGCATTTTTTAAAGGGGGAAGATGATCAGAAGGATCACCTTGACATACCTTGACTGAGGAGACCCGGGGAGGTTGACAAAGCTATGGGGATCGACCATGGTTTTTTAGTTCCATTGTTAGCTAAGTTGGTTTATATGAAGGTTAAATAGCGTTCTGGTGATTATAGCGATAGTTGAGGTGAAACTAAACAAGACTTCAAAGTAGAAGACCCTTCCTTGTAATTACACAATTGAGCCATATCTTGGATTGAAAGCATCCAACTGTTGAGGAAAAACCAACATTGAGATCTTGAAGAAAAAACTTACCCATGCAAGGAACTATATAATCTCCAAAACATGCTGAAATATGACACATGCCAATCCAGTGAGTCCTATTAACTGTTGAGTAAGACGGCCAAAAATGATTGGAATCCCGCCTCTTTGCTTTTGGACATCCAACTTGTTTGTATGCCAGTTTCAAGCTCACTCTCTTTGCAGCATCAGTTCCCCTTTCAGAATTTCAGGATTCTTGGGCCCGTGATCGCCGAATCTTGAGTCCGATGTGAGGACATCCTTAAACAATTTTTTATTTGCATCAATTCGCATCCATTTACTGTCGACGTAGCCTCTGGGTGACGACGATCTGAGGTCATGCAGGACATCATATCTCTCCTGGATCTCACGTATGATTTGGAGAAGCGACTCGGCGAAGTCGACTTTCCGAAATGATGGGACATTAATGATGGATATATATATATATATCACACACACACGCATTTATTATTTATTTGTTTATTTATTTATTTATATTTATTTTTATTATCATTTTTTATATTTATTTCTATTTATATTTATTTATATATATATTTATTTATTTATTTATTTACAGTATATATATATACACATCGGTATGTTGATAAATGATAAACATCAGGGATACACTGGGGATATTTCATGGGATATCATGATATGAGTATAGGGGGTACCAACTTAGGATGAGATGTGTTTGAAAATCGGGGACATCATCTCTACATGGCAATTTCAACAGGGAAAATGATGAAATCAACCAGTGGATTTCTGGAGCACGTTGTCAAATCCGTAGGATTTGTGATGTATTTATGATGAAAAATACCCTCTGGCAAACTAAAATAACTATTGAAAATTACCATTTATAGTCGATTTACCCATTAAACATGATTATTTTCCATAGTTATGTAAACGTTTACCAGAGGGTAAGGACCATGTTGGCAAGTATCGGGGTGTGAGGATGGCTCAAAGTGGCGTAGATCTATAGGAAATCTTTCAACTTCAGGTGGTTGAAGATCCCATTGGCCAAACTTTTTCGCCGCTCTGGCCGGTGGTTTCACAGAACAACTGTACTTTGGATGACGCCAATGGACTAAAAAAATTTGATCCGTAGGACTCCTGGGATGGCTTTCCACACAGAAACCTGGAAACCTGCTTGAAGGAGTTGTTTTTTCTCCAAAAAATCCAAGTTTAATTAGACATCTTCTTAAGAAATGCCCAGGCTTTTTGACTTTCCGTGAGCGAAAAAACAATCGATTTTCTGGGGAAGTTGGGCCATGACCACACCCTTCAGCGCTGCTTTGATCACCCTTCGCCGCCTTCGTCCCAGGGCCATCACGGTGAATTTTGCCGTTTTGACCATGCTGCTGGATTTGGTTGGCCACTTGGAGGATGGTTCTGGTGACGTGGGCCATGTTGGTGGGAGATGAACATCCATAACTCCCAGCTATTTCGGTGTGGAAGGGGGCCAGGGTATAGACCCATGACTCAATATGTCTCCAGTCGGATGGGTGATAAGCCCAGAAACATACGGGAGATCAAGCAAATATAGTAAACATCATTTTGCCACTATCCAGATTTGCCCGTTGGGGTTGAACAGTTGCCGGTTGTGGTGCACGAATGTCACGTTAGACCTTAAATTGGTTGGTCCTACGGACCTCTAAGACTTGCAGACGCTGGTGCTTTCAGGCAACGATTCATTCTCGCCCCATGATGTTTTTCTAAGACATTAGCCCCTCCAACTACAGTACCAATGCCATGTGATGCCCAAGGGTATTGAGGGCATGAAACCATTCGGAAGCCCTTCGATCGTATCATTTTGGGCGCTGGAGTCGAGCGACCTCCCAAGGTGACCGTCAAAACGCGGCGCCGTCGGGCTCGATGCACAAATGTCAGATCTGCCAGCCGCTGGTGGCACCTCGGATCACTGTGGAGATCACTGAAATCATCCTAAATCATCCGAAATCTAGGTATTTCATGGTATTTCAGCTTAATTTCCATGGTATTTCACCAACATCAACCAGGTTTTCACAGGTTTGGTCAGCAGTTTCTAGGGTCAGGTGTGACCTGCCAATCCAATCTCCAGCAGTCTCCGATCCGAGAACCTCGTCCGGCCCCTGCTGGAAGAATTGGAGGGGACCGTGGCCTTTGCACTCTTCATAGCTCGCTCTGAGGTGAGGAGGGGTAAGCTCTGGTAAACATACAAAAAACTATGGAAAAATCCACCATTTTTAATGGGAAAACTCACTATAAATTGCCATTTTCAATAGCTTTTTGTATGTTTACCAGAGGGTAAGCTCTGGAAGAGCTTGAAACATGTCGAGCGAACAAAGCAACAGGCCCATAAGAGGTGGTTTTTCAGGAAAAAAACCTGGAGATTTCACGAAAAAAACCCTCAGCGGCAAAACTCGGGGATTTACGGAGTCAAGACCAGGTCGACAGACAGGTGGTGAAACGCAGGAATTTTACACATCTCCCAAAGCCTCACTGTCGCAGATGTGGCATCCCAAATCCGATGGTTCAGAACGATTCGTCGAATCCCAAACAAAACGCTATCTCCAATGATTAATTCTCATTGAATCATATTATATTACATATATTCAATATATTAAATCCCCCTCAAAATCTGGTGGTTTAGAGCTGAGCTTCCACAAATCACCAGAAAGCGAGGTTCATAAGCAGCTGCAGGGCCCTGCACTGACCCAATTGCGAGCCTCCATTAATTCGACTGTGGCTCCCATAAAGGAGATCAAGGCACCGTGGCATCGGTATGGTCATGGATGATATATATACAATAACATGTTACATGATGCTACATGTTTTTCTGAACCACTTTTTTTAACCACCCGTTTATGACATTTATAATACATTTATGCTGATGGCAGGGGATGATTTCGTGTTGGCTGGGATGGTTGGAAGCCAGGACTGATTTGACGACTCCGGCAGTCAAATCATGGAATCCCGCCGTGGTTCATAAAGTGCTACGAACTTAGAAGCCATGAAATAGCCAAGTTATAGGGTGGTGTATTTACTGTGTATATATATATATATGTAATTATATATAGTTATATAATGTTATATATACACACATACATATATGTACACGGTGACGTCTTTATGGAACACAGTAACTATGATACATGATATAGCCATGGTAGAACGTAATTGACTTACCACAGCCACTCAGCCACTGAAGGCCATGATCGTAGAGAAGATCGGTTTCTACCTGAGCACTGCTGAGGGCCAATTTCAGTACGTGATGGCGGCTCGGCGAGAGCTTGGAAATCTACTGTGGTTCAATCAGTTACAATCGGTCGTAGGATATATGAGAAATCACTGGATCATGATTCCTTTGGCCATGGGCATTTTGTTGGTAGGGCTTTGGTTGCCAGACTAAATGCCAATTTCACCCAAATTGGCGCACTGGTTCCCAGCTGTGCCATGCGCTGAGGGGTATATTCGTGGTGACTTCTGGACAGGCTCCTGACCTGCGGTGCGGTCAGCCTGTTCTCAACTTTAATCAATTTTTCGGTAGCAAAGCATCTTCAGATATCTTCAGATTTCGCACCCGAAAAACCAAAGTTTTGGAATTGTGCCCAAGCGTTTTTGCGTCATTTGTGTATCATTGAACTTGTCGTTCAACTGCCCTGATTCTCCGCCGCAGCGGCACCAGCTGAGCCCACCACTGCTAGATGAAGTACGCTTCCGATGAAGTAGCGTTAGACGCACACGTATAGACACAGAAATCCCAATGCATAGTTTCACATCATTTTTGCACATATGATATGGACTTTCCTTTTGGTGTATCGATGACACATTTTATCCCCCCTTCTCCTCTTGGAACAAAAGCATTGCTTAAAGTTTTTAACCATCTATATAACCTAAAGCAATGAAATGCATGTCATTTACGCGAATTAAAGCCATTCAAATCCCGCTATTCAAATCCAAAAAACCTGGCTGTTTGGAGGTCAGGGCGGCTATTTGTTTCCCGTGATCCTGGCTTTGTTCCTGCTGTGCATTCTGATCGTCATCCACGGGATCTTCTCCCTGGCCGTCTTCGGCTGCTGCGGTGGACGGGAACACGACCCCTGCTGCGTGCGCTACTCCGCGGGATATTCGCTGTGTAGCTCCTACTGCTATACCATGCTCCTGTTGCTTGGTCGTGGCTGGAAGGTCTTGAGGCGCTGGTTAGCAGATTGGAACATGGAGGGCTTTCCAACAGTGGGGTGAAATTACACAGTCAAATTTCATCCGAAAGTTTGGTCGGCTACAATTTCAGATGTTTGATGAGTGGTGATTGTGACCCCTCGAATCCCTGGAGCAGTACAAATGTGGGTGATAAACATTTTTCAACAGTTCAACAGCGTAAGGACCATCAGCTCTCATGGCTCATAGCTGTCACCGACCAAAAAAATGGGTCATTTGATTCCACCTGATTCCTCCATGGAATGACATCCATTTTTATCACCGAAATCTCCAAGTTCATGTTGCTTAAAGTCCCCCCTCTTTTAATCCCAACAAAGATTGGCTAGTCCAGCCACGCTATATCTATATCTATATCTATATCTGTATCTATATCTATATCTGTACATATATATATATATTTAAATACAGAACGCCATAGAAGCATCTTTATTTAAACGATTGTATGTCTTTTTTTGATCCTCCTATCACAGGTTGCCACTGGGATTCTCCTCCAGGTTGCTTCTGGGCGGCATCATTACGATCCTGTCCACCGTGGGTAGCGGCGTCTGCTTGGTGATGCTGGACTATGACCGAGAGGCGGTCGATGTCGCCATGGAATCATGGATAGAAATCACTGCTGAAAGGGAACCACTTGTTTTATCTCAGTGGACTTAGTAGGGGGTAACTAATGATAGGGGCTTAGTATTGGCATATGTTGGTATAAAGGGATATATTCCACAATAACAATCATGAACCATAGTGTATAGGGATTTGAGCAATTAAGTTATTGTCTTGAATGGGTCTTCAGTAGGGGTAAACACCCAGCAACGCTCGGGTCCATTTTGATGGTTCAATCCGCATTTTGATTGTTGAGGATAGGTCAAAACATGTCAAAACCCATGCGTTTCCAGAAGGTTGGGGGGTTGGGGGGATGCATATCCATTTGTGAGTTATTTTTTGAGGTGAAAACCAGGGTTTTGACAGGTTTTGACTCAGAGCGATGCTTGGGACCTGATTGGATTACCCACTCAAAATATTCCATCCCCAAATATTAAGATTCAGAAGATCGCTATTGTAGATCTGGTTTTGTTGTTCTCTTCTTTTCTATTTTTGGGGGTTTCTATGAAATGTTAGAGCCCCAAAATGAACATCTCCAAATACGAAATAAACATAAAAAACAGGGTTTCTGGGTTGCATTTAGTATTTGGGGATAAACATGGGAAAGTCCTCATGGATAATGACTAAACATGTGCCGAAGGTCAACCCCCCGGGGAAAAGGGGGCATCGCTTCATATGCCCCTGGTGATTCCTACAAGGTGGTGTCCCATAGCTAAGTTGGTTTCGAACTAGTATAAACTGATATAAACTCTTGGGTTTATGGATGTTTCTGTCAGTTATCATGATTTCCTTTGGCTTTAATGGTAGATATCACCATTTCTGGTGGCAGCGCCGTTACCATACCAAATCCGCAGGTGGGCAAGCGGCTGCTGGTGGCTTCGGGTATGGAGTCCGCCGAGCTGGATGAGTATTTGGACATGGCGCTGAATCTCTCGGACCAGTGCATGAGTCTCAAGGTGCCCATGGTGCCATGGGCCATGGGCGGGCCATGGGCCATGGTGCCAGGTGGTTACCCTCAAACTCCTGCGGCTGAGAATTTTTTTGGGGCGTTTGGCCTCATGGCCCATGGCATTTTTGGGTGAAATCTCTGGGAGAAATCTTCAATATCTTTGATTTTGCAGCCGAGGATTTGTTTTAATCCCCATGCAGTGTTGACATGCATTTTTTGGAGTTCTTAGTGGTGAACCCCTGGTTTTTGCAGGCGAAAAAAGAGCATTCAACATTCCTTCCCAGACGTTCATAGGTGTTTTTTTGGTGAACAAATCAATGAATCTTGTGTTATTACTTGACATACCACCCCACAAACATATTTTATATTTAGTATATTTAGTATATTTAGTTACAATTGAACATCAATGAGCAGTTTCCCCAGTTGTAAATGGGAGTGGTGATTCTAACAGTCTAACCCTATCAATACCCCCGATGGATCCCTTAAAAGCACCGATCATCGCCAGGGCGCGGAGAACGCGAACTGGAACCTGGTGGATTTGATCCCCATCCCCAAGGTGAATCCCACCTTCCCAGGTGCGAATGATGAGATGATGACTGGTTGAACAAAGAAAAACTGCTTGAGAAAGAACTGGATACTTAGTGGTTATTTATGGCTATTTATGGTTACTCTTAGTGGTTATTTTGGATACACTCTAAAGTGCATTGTAGTGGTTGTTAGATGTTAGACAGAATGGCTGACCAACCATGCGAACAGCGTGGCTCTGTGTGAAAAGTGATGTAAACTTCAAGGTCCTTGACCTTGAAATCCGCCAAAGTCCATGCCTAGAAAACGGGATTTCATAAGGCGTTTGGCCGGTGAATCCTACACAGCATGAACATTTTAAAGGCTGGAATAGGTTGGACCCACCAAGCATCTAGACATTTTGGAGGCATGCGGCCAGCAGGTGGATTGGGACTTGACCTTGGAAACCAACATCTTCCGGGAAAAACTATAGACCCCTCAGGAGCCTTCATCTGAAATTTCAGCCCGAAATGAGATTTGCAAAATCCACCATGAATCCAGCAGCAAATATCATCAGCTTTCCCATTTTCACGACTGAAATCCGACTGGGTTTTCCCCATTTTCCGAGATCGTGGGACGCCTTTTTTGTAGGCGAGATGAGCACCCCAAGGAAGGAAATCATTGAGCTGGCCATCAAACCCATCCAGGAGCCACACAGTGGGCGGCCTTGATGGCCTTGATTGACTCGACGTGATGGCGGAAATTCTCTGGGAGAATTTTGGAAGATGATCATTGTTTATCATGTTGAAATTGTGTATATTTAAGTGTAAATGCGAATGATGGCCCAACAGGATAGGATTTTGGACAAATTTTAGGATTTAGGACATTTGGGAATTATTTATGATATTTTTTCTTTGGTACATTGGGGCTAGTTAGCGGCTAGTTTGTGGAATTTGGGTGAAGCAACCCTAAACCCCAAATTGCCAAAGTTCTTTGAACAAAGCCGGAAGATGTGGGATACAACCCACTTTTTTGGGATCCAGTTATTAACCAGTTCACGAACTCCACCTGGTAGCAGCTCCTGATCCTTGGAGGTCACTTTTCAGCATACAAATAAGTTGGATGCCACCAACTTGCTGGGAATTTAAGTAACCATTTATAAATGATTTGTTGGATTTTCCACGAGTGCTGGATGATTTAAACTACTATGACTACTATGATTTTCCCATTTTTTTGCGCTGGGGATTTCCCAGCCATGATTACCACGTTAAACCAACCTGCTGCAGAGGAAGGTGGATTGGCCCCCCAAATATCGCATTGACTGAGTACACGCCGCACTGAAGCACTTTCAAGCGGGATGCACATATAAGTTGATGGAGAGTAAATCCTCCTTCTTCGCGATCAAAATGGGCATTTTTCTGGGTTGGCTCTCCATTTTAGAGCTCAATTCCCCTCTCTCGCCTGCTTTCCCGCCAAAAAATCGAGAAGCAAACTCTGGATGACATCCGCCTTGATACCCATCTTACCCATCTTCAACTTTTCCCACCCAACAAATCCAACACCGCCCGCAGGATGCCTTTGCCAAACTGGATGAGTACGAAGCATTGATTCCCACCGTATCCACGATGCCTGAGGCCAGATTTTCTCCTCCGAGGTGATGCTGTTGGGGCTTGGTTGGAGACGACGGATGATGACGGTTAACTCTTGGTGAAATAACTGGGTTTATGGCAATATGATAATCTATAACTGTAATTAATGGGTGTTATAACATGTTATAACATGTTATTCTATATCATTTTTTTTCTGGCGTGCACATTTAGCTGCTGGACCTTAAACTGGGATCGCAGTTAGATTGCTTTTTGGGGTAACACCCCCAATTCATTAACCAGGGCTTGTTAATCTGGGGTTGATAAAGTTGGCACCAGAAAGTTGTGTTTGCTGGTTTGTAAGCCGCATGAATATGCAGGAACTAGTTTAATACATCTACCATAACTCCTAGTTACACTACTTATAAGCCAGCTTAGCCAACAAAACCCCTAGGCCCATCTAGGCCCTAGATTCAATATGTAACCTGAATAGCTGGGATCTCGTTTGGATGATTTTGGAGCTCAACTCGTTTGGGATCTATCCGAGGGTCACCCCCCAAACGCTTGGATGGTTTAATAACACCATACAAGAACAATGTAACAATTGCATAGAAATACACATTTTCTGGGTCCAATTTGGCCATTTTTGAGTCATGGCGATATGGGGAGAAGTAGACCTTCCAGCAGAAGCGTGGTCATGACACAAGATGGAAACTATAAAAACCATGGGTTTTTCGAAAAAGAGGTTCCCCAACAAACAGCTCGGTGCCCAAAAATCAGCTCGCTCGGTGCGGCTTATTACCGCCAGGTGGTTTGGTTCCTCGTTTCCTCGCAGGTGAACATGGTGTTGAAGGTCATAGGGGACATCAACATGAGATCCCTGATCTGGCGCCTTGATGGATGGGGATGGAACTGATGGAACCAGAGATAAAAAACCAGTTGGCTTTGTCAACGTAACCATGTTAAAGCAACATGCGTGGATGGTCTACGTTCAGAAAACAGGGAAAACAGGGATAACAGGAATTTGGGATTTACGAGGTTTGGTGCAGGGGATGGTCTCACCGATTTCCAGGATGCTCAACTGGAACTATTGGATGACCAAGATCCATCATCCAGAAAAAACTCAGGTCCGACCCTACAGAGATTCTGGTGGACCCCCGATATCGTGTGCCTTGGCGTGACCCCGAAAAGAGGTCAAAAAAGAGGTCAACCCGCTATTTCTATTGGATGTTTCCCAATAGAAATGTGGGTCGAACCGAGCCCCCGAGCAATCCTTTAGATGCCACATGGTGAAACCATGAACAAAAAGACTTCAAGAAGCTTCCAAATTGGTCAGAAGCTTTCCAAGTCCTTTTCCCCTCCATTTTGTGTCAAACTCATCGTGACCTTTCCGCCGGCCAGGCGATGAACCCAGCGTATCACCTGGTGACCTTGAACTGCCCCGATACTTTGCTGAGCCCCGACCTGCCAGGGCCATTGGCGAATCTGACGCTTGGAGAACAGGGAAGATCTCGGAGTATGCGAAAAAACGACGAGAAATGAGGGCACCAAGACCTTGCCAAGTTTTTGGATTTATATGTATATAATTGTATATATATATATATTTGTGTATATATATATATTTACCAACAAATTACTAAGAAGACCCAAATGCACCAATCATATATCCATATTCACATATATATTTGCCAATATATTGACTAATACTGACCATGATTTTAGCACTAGACATGGCAAGTCGTGGTTTGTTGCATCTTTGACCTCAGCCATAGCCTTTTTCGCTGAGGCGGGTACCTGGCATGGATTCCATGGCTATGGACGGTGCGCCGCTGCGCTGGGTGGTTTCAAAGTGGAAAACTTCCAATGGTCTTTTCCAATGGTCTTTGATGGTCTTTTCCAATCGAAACCATATGCAGATAGATGAAAAACCAATGGAAACTTCCAATGATGCATCTGCTTTTTTTCCAATGGTCTTTTCCAATGGTCTTTTAAATCTGCTTCATATTTGATGATTTAATTAAGACCATTGGATACATTTGAATCTTGTTTCAATACTGTTTCTTCCAGTTCTGAATTTTTGTTGATGCAGATTGAAAAAAGGATTTTCATACGTACCTGCTCTGGATGATATGATCATGATGATTATAAAGATGGTGAATGAGGAAGACTTTCAGGGAGCAGTGTTCAAAACCCTAGAGGGCAAACAGTGGGCTTAAACTGCAGAACGCTCGCGAAAGCAAAAACCCAACTCGCGAAAGCTTCGCCAAAGCCTAACAAAAGCCAAGTTGACAGACACCGTCGCGAAAGCTTCGCGAAAGTCTCAAATTGGCAGATATTTTACACATGTAAGATTGCATCCAACAAAATACGGCGAGCTCCGCGAAAGCAGATCTTGTGAATATTTACCGCGCGAAAGGTGAGAGTGTGGTTGCGAAAGCATCGCAAAAGCACCCCGTGTATGATGAAATGACAAAGCCCTTTTGAACATAGGAAGACCACTAATCAGTCAAATTTTAAGCGAGTTTAGAGTCGATGATCAAGTGTGAACGATTTTTCTGTACCTTGGACTGAACTTGGACTCATGCCCACATGTTTGCTTGAGGATTGCAGCACGGAAGACGGACACTTTTTAGGGGGCTTTCAACATGGCCACAGGTTTGCAAACTTTACACATCTCTTGGATGGGAAACACTATGAATAATTCAGACCAGACATGACACCGAGGGCACCACGAATCCTGGTCAGGGGGAATTGTCCCGAAATTGGCGACTATTTCTGATTTGGGAATCATAGTAATTTGCTTAGATTATTTCTGTTGGATTATTCTGCAGTTCGTGCAGATCTGAGTGGGACAAACGCGATAATCATCTTGAAGATGTGATTGGAGCCCCGTACTGGGTTTGGGTTCACATCCACATCCTTTGACCCAGGCAGGCTGAGATAAGTGTGGGATGATATTGATATGTCTTATTTTTCCATTTTTCTAATTGCATGTAGTAACCCCAAAAAGATGGAGTTTAGTATATGATTCATCATTATTTTAGTAGGCTATTTATTGTTTTCGTATTAAACCTTAGGTATCCTTATGTTCTTATGTCGTTCAATGCACGCTTCCATTTGCCCTCCCCGCTAGAAAATGACGGGCACCCATTGGCCAGGTTACTTCGTGGTCAGGACGACAGGAGATGAATTGGCGACGGGGAATGAATTCAAAGTGGTCCTTCCGTTGGAATTTCCGGACACGCAGCCCCGCGGCGGATCCGAGTGATTTACCGTGAATGGGAGACATATCATGATATATCATATATCCACACTCAATGGGGTTAAACCAACGCAAAACTGGGGAGCACCAACTTCGGGTATTTGGATAAATGGACAACTTCGTGCGATTCGGGAGTCTCTGGAAATGGGGTAGAACATAGAGGGTTCACAACCTGCAGGTAGATCCTGGTGAACGGTATGCCAAATGGCCCCCTCCATTCTTCCCAAGAGTTTCATGCGCAAGTTCTTAAAAGAGATATCCGGGCCTAAAAAAGTGCAATTCGGCACTTTTTCTCGAAGATCATCTTTGGCTTGGATTTCCGTCCTCAACTATCAGCAGGGAGACCTGCTCGCTTAAAGGACACTACTTCAGTGGGAAAATCAATTTTCGAGGGTGTAAGACTTATTTTCCAGGCAGCAAGCTTAGATTACCTCGGGCAAGTATTCCAATCTCATGGGTTTCTCCCCGTCTTGGTTCGTTCAACAACTGCCTTCATGGTCGACTTCAATTCGTGCAATCAAATTTCCTGGCAGGTTGGGTACATCCACATCCCCATATAAATTAGAGATCTCGTGGCTAAATATGTGGTCCCGGCAAAGCTTCTTCGGCCAAGCAAACTATGAGTCTTGGGAACTAGTAAACTATATTCCCTACATTTTTTTAGATATGTTTCTCATATTTTCCCAGAAATTCCTCAATATTATTCACTATTTTGTTCCCATCAAATCAGTCTCCGATGTCGAACTCAAGGATTCAAGTGCACGGCCTCGAAAGTGACATGTTGACACAGAATTGGAGCTGCCCTGCGGGCTTTTCTGAGGGCACCTGTGGCTTGGCTAAAAAAGGGCTCGGCCAGATGTGGTTGCCCAGCAGGGTGGCTGGGGCCAGCATTTTTTGATGGATTTTGAAGGGTTTCCGAGCCTGAATTGGTGGTAAAAATGGTAAAATCACCTGGATTTTGGTGTTTCGTTGTTGGGATGAACCATCAGAAAATGAGAATTTGATCAACAAAAACTCTTGGGATTTGATGGGATAACATGATATAAAATGGACATATACTGGGGATAATATACATATGCACAGGTACAACTTTGATATGTTTATCCATGCATTTAATTGTCAATCCGATTGTTGCTTTATTTTGTCTATATATCAGAGTAGATAGATTGTATTATTGTAAATTACGTACATTAGACTACATCATATTAGATTAGACTAGGTCAGATTATATCAGATTAGATCAGGTAGATAGATGGATGGATGGATGGATGGATAGATATATAGATGGACAGAAAGACAGACAGACAGACAGACAGACAGGCAGGCAGGCAGACAGACAGATAGAGAAACAGAGAGAAAAATAGAGAGAGATAAACATAGATTTAGATATAACTATGGATTTAGATATGCCTTTAGATGTAGATACATATGGGTGTCCATTTTTTTGGTGCAAAGAGAGCATGTTTTTGAGGTCATAAGCCTTTTTCAATCCCTGCCATCTCCTGAACATATGCTCCAGGTGGCACTGCCCCCGCCTCCAACGCGGGCACCGCAGCGGCCTGCCGAGCCGGGCTTGCCTTCCTGGCGTCTTAGCCGTCATAGATTCCCATGGGATGACCAAACCACATAGAATCTATGACATGTAGCATGACATGTTTTGACCATGCTACAGAAAAAGGGATTGACGTCATCAAAATGATAGGGTTTTCCATGATGTTTTTAAGCGTATTCCGAAGGGATGGTTTGCTATTGGGTTTACCTCAGTTGTTTTCAATGGGGATGATGGAAGATGATCATGATGAAGCTGTTCTTTTAATGCTTGGGTGTCCCAATGGGGTGTCCTGCTTGGCCAAATTTGGGTCATCTTGGCGACAATTTTGGGCCAAAGGACTACTGGCAATTGGGCAACCTTAGCCTTGGCAATTGGCTGCAATTTTTCCTTGCTCAACCCACCAGATAATACCAGATACCATATTTTTTTTCGAGAAACCATGAGAAACAGAAAGGCATTTTTCGTGATCCGGTGGATTTTCGGATGGCGATCGGATGTCAATCGGATGTACCCGGATACCTTGGCGAAACCGGCCGGCTTGACATTGCGCCGGCTTGGGGGATGCTGAATATTAACGAATCATTGTTGGTACCCGCTTCTCTGCAGCATGTATGGCAAAAAGTCACTGATATATCACCATTTCCGTTGCCAACGGCTCCCGATTTCTTGGAATTCGTAAAAAATGTTGAAGCGATAATGTACAGGAAACCCACCACATTTGGCTGGTTGTACATCCCTGAGACCCATTTCAACCGTCATAGCAGTGATACTTGACCATTGAGCCAGGGGTAAAGTGAGTCATTGGGAATTTCTGGGTATGTTGCCCCTGGACCAGTGACGATTGCTCCAAACGGTTGATATGCCAAGCAGCACCTAGGAGGAAAAGAAATTGCCCTTGCAGCAGAACCCGGTCTTCAATTGCAGGTTCTTTCAGAGACTTGCATCATCTGCACAATTTATGATGGTTAGGAAGGGGACGGGACCGGATCGTGCCAGTGATTAGTTAAAGTCAAAGTCATGGTGATTATAACCAGCAACAATTTGGCTGGGATATCCCCACTTGGACTAATGCGGCCTAATGCGGCTTATGATTCCAGTTGCTAGTTGGGATGCACATCCAAGTGCGGAACAAAAACACCAAGAAATCCGCTGAGCGGAGTTGTAGCTTACTCGCCTTTAGCTCTCTTGAACTCCTTGAGAAGGTGATATCCCCCGATGAATCCCATCCCAATCTGAAACACCCCCATTCCATCCCAGATATGTGCGAATCCCCGACTATCCGTACTAAACCAGGGTTTCTGGGGGTGTATAAAACGAAGGGAATTTAAACAAATGCACCCCAGCCATGGCCAAGTTAGGGCCAATATAGTCCAACTGAACATGGCACACATCAAGCTGGAACCCATGATTTCTGGGTTCATTTCGCCAGAGCATCATCCGAGAAACCGTAACTGGTTACAACCCCCCTGGTCATCGCAGGTCCCCTTCGTCAAAGATGTTGGGATTTCTAGTGACATTTTGCTTCAAAATCTTCAAACCAATTCTACGGTCAGTTTTCGAAAAGCCCAACCCAATCGCTGGGTCTTTTTTAACTCGTGCACCCCTCAATGAAGCCCCGGAACCCTCACCAAGTTGGATTGCATGTTCATGAATTGATCATATTTGGGATGATCCGTTAAACAACTACCATCCAGCACAAACGCTGGGAAATCCCCAAAGGATTTATGATATTTATGGTGGTTTTTCTGGCATTTCAGATGGCTGGCTGTCAATCATCTGAGCCGAGTTTTTTTTTTTTGGGTTGAACGGTTGAACCATTGGTTTTTTTGTTGAGGAAACCGGGTGAGCCCTGGGGCACTCCTTGCGAGATTAGCAACATGAGCTTTGGCGATGCTGGGTGGCAAGGGGCGTCACCGAAGACGCCAAGAACTTGATATGTTCCCCATGATCTCATGATGGGCCGCACCTATGGTGTGAGAAAAAAAAGGGATTGTGAATGTTTGTGAATGTTGTGACCTGTGACCCATATGGCCATGGCCCATACTCATGTGATCAGAAGAGGTTTTTTAAGGGAAAGTCCCTCCACCCTTCAAACTTGCTCAACTGCTGAGGATGCGCAGTGCATCTTTCCCAATGGCAGCATGGAAACCTTCATTGTAGGTTGCACCGTGGACGAGTTTGCTGCCCAGATCCTTGGTGGAATGTCCTTGCGGCTACCAGTTGGTGTTGATTGTTCTTTCCGCCAAACTCGGAGACATTTGATGAGTTACCCTCCAGGAATTTAGCATAGCGATGGAAAATCAGCCCTTAAAACCTCTTTGAAGTCCGTCCCAGCCGCGAACTTTGGGAGGTCAAACTATCCGCAACGCACTCTGTCAAAGATAAAAGACACTTATGAGAAATAGAAACTCAAGTCTAAACCAATTAACATCAATTAACCCCAGCTTTGGGTTGAAACATGGTATTTGTTTCTTCATATTTTCCTTCTCCCCCTAAGGATCAGTGGCTTTGAGGAGCTCATTCGTAGCGGCCTGCACTTTTTGGACTTGACGGTGGACGGCATTGTCGATACGATCATGATCACCCTGCGAAGATTGGTGGAGGAGAACATCCTCAACCCCCTCGATCCTTGGATATCCTTGGATGGTTTGGAGCTCTGGTTTTCGATCCTTATTCCCAATGGGGAGCCCAAGAACACAACAGTAGAATGGAGAATTAGGAGCTCTTAGATGGACATTTTATGTGATGATTTTGGAGGAATGAGACCCTGGGATCACATCCCTTATCGCTATGGCCGCTATGGTAGGACCAGGGATGGATCCAGAGTTGACATGGACGCATCAAATGACCAACCGAAGGCAGGTTTGGATATCAGAATTATTCATGAGCGCATGTATATGCGTATGTCATATGTAGAATATGTATATACAAGGCGCACACACACACACACACGCATGTATCTATAATAAGTGATCTAAGTTAGATAAATATCTGTATCTTATGTATATCTTATGTATATATTATGTATATATTATATATCAGTTTGTTCGAAGGTTTTTTTCCTCCTCAGAAGCTGCCAGCACCTGAGAACATCCTCCTCAACGGCTTGCACTGTTCCTTCATGCGAGAGTTTTGGTCTGGGTTCCTTGGCAAGGTGAAGTCCATTTTTTTTCCATGTTTTTCTTCAGGTTTCCAGGACATTTTTAATGATATTTTTATTCAAGTGCTACGTGCTAAGGGAGGTATTACCCTCTGGTTATTTAACAGTTCGCCATGGAAAATTGCCAATTTATAGATGGTTTACCTATCAAAAATGGTGGAATTTAGAGGTATTAAAAAAATAAACCAGAGGTATTAAATAACCAGAGGTATTAAAAAAAATAAACCTGATCTTAGACGAACACATTTTTCTGATCAAAAAAAAGCACCAGCCGCTCCGCACAAGCCTAGCAGGCCTAGCATCCTGGACCTAGGGGAAGACCTAGGGGACCACAGATGTTAGTCTAGTTTAGTATTAACCATCCAATTATTGGGGTACCTAATTTTGACCCATACCCATAATAATATAACGATAATAAGAACCTTGATGATAATCAGAAAGTCAGAGTCATAATGATAACTAGAATTATAATAAGCATAATAAAGTAAGAACATCGAATTATTACAAAGTAGGTGCAGATGACCTGGAATTTGTGCGCCAATTTACCCTATTCCTTTTAGACACATTTTTTAAATAACTATATATATATATATATCTATCAGTAATAATAATAGTAAAAACGCAATAATAATAATAATGCTGCTAATCATCACAATGTTCAGGATAAGCAACTGTACGTATAAAGTGATGCAAAAAAAGGAACGTACCATCCCATCAGCCACGTCAGACCCCGAAGATAACCTCAATTTTGAGTGGTTTCACTAATCTGAACCAAGCCCGATGACTGGCAGGGTCGAAGTCTGAACATTTACTGGGGTATTTCTTGTAGTTAGTGAGTGAAACCTAAGTTGCGTGAAGTAGCTCACATGACATGGTTTGCAATTAGGTTCATTTAAGTGACATAGGGCCCATTCGCAGAGGTCCTGAATCATGTGGTAATTTTCAACCATGCACTTATTCAGATGACATGGGTTTATGTTATTTTTTTTGGAGGTATGTCCAACTACTCCCATATCATCTCCAGGTACCGTAGCAATCATCAGCTGCTTAATGTCCTACTATGTCCTACTATGAATCATATTTGATCATGATTTCATATGTGCAATTGCGCAAAGTTAGTTGGGTTAGATTAACCCATGAATTTAGGGGGATGGACATTAACCCACCATGACTAGGTAATCACAATGGCCCAGACCCTCTCAATAATAGATGGTTCATTCACCATCAAAACCGTGGTTGTTACTGGTTTGTTTCAGTCTCAAATAGGGATATAGTGAATCACCCAAAAAAGAACGGAATTAGTGAATCACCATTATTTTTTGCGGATTTTGATGGGAAAGACACATGAATCACCATTATTTTTCTGTGATTTTGATGATTTTTTGTGGGATTTTCTATCTCTTCGGGGGTTACCAGGTTGACCCAAATCATGATGAGATGACCAGGTTGACCTCTTCCCTGTGCTTGCGCTCCGTCAGTGGCCTCTACACCATGTCGGTCAGCCCCATGACGTTTTGGAAGCGTCGAAGAGAACAGAGTTTGGCTTTGCAGTTTCACGATTGTTGGGTGGAATATGGATTAATTATAGATGATTTTCATGAAGTTTCTGGTGTCCAAACTTTTTCTTTAAGCTTGATGAGTCTAATATTTTGTTCAGGATTATAAGCTTGATGTTTTGATGTTTTTTCTCCCCCATCATTTCAACTATAATAATGATGAATTTTCCGGATCAGATGCGGCTGCCGCGATCCAATTTGGGTTCTTCAAATCTCACAGCAACCTCTCTGCAGCTACCTATCACTTCAATGGCTTGCCGGGAACATGGATGAATACGCTGGATTTCCAGAAATTCTCAGCAAATTACCCCACAAAGCCCTCACTGCCAGAAGCTGTACCAACCACTTACTGCGATCAAAATCACGTCCGTGAATGACCATGGCAATTAGAAACATCTAGCAACCACCAACCAGACTCGAGTCACTGGCAGGGACAGACCTGCCTCACTTTCGGTCGAACGGTCACCAAAGTGACCAAGTGTGAAAAGCGCTTTTGAAGATATCCGAGTCTTCTTCCCAAATATGTGTTTGGAAGATGACTCTCCTGCAGAAAACGACCAACTACTGTATCACATTTGTCACTTCCGTTCTCAAGTTCGGGCGCTGAGGCTATGTGGTGGCCGCCATCCTAAGCTTGCTCGTTGCCGGGGCGATGTACATCCCGTGGCGCTTCTCCCGAGATAACCAGGACATTTGGCGGACCACGCATACTGGAGAGGCCGGGGCAAGGGAAGGTCCAATCTGAACATCGGCTATGGTCTAAATCATCATGATCCCCCAAAATGATTATCGCATCATTAGAATCATTAGCCACTTTTGGGGGGTATACCATGATATACCATGATATACCATGATATGCTATGATATACCGATATGATATACCATGATCATTGAATCAGCGAAACACCCCGATGTTCGACCAAGGCCGCCGCCGACGCTGAAGCACCCACAGTTGCCGAGACGGATCTGGCGTCACCGCCGGTGCCAGCGGTGGAAGCGGCACCCCCTTCCGCGGCCGTGCCGGCGGCGGATGGCACACCAGGGAGCAGGTGCGCTGGGGATGGTTGGGGTATGGGGGATGAAACTGACAGACTCTTCTGGGTTGGTTCTTTGATGTTCTTTGTAGAGTTTGCGTGCTCATGAAGTTGTTATTGGGTAAATCATGGACCTGCTAGGATCATTTTTCTCTCATGTTGAAACTTTGGGGATGTTAAGCGCAGGTCCTCAGGCAAGACCCAAACACACCTACAGCGGGTGTGTTATATTCAAAGGGTAGGTGGAATGTGTTCTTCTGGGTGTGTCTGTTGATGTTTGGACGAATTCACCAACTGGTGGTGCTAAAACGCGGTTTGTTCAGTTGCAGGAGCCCAGCTCTATGCTTCTGCTTTTAAGTGGAACCACCAGCTGGGGTAGACAATCACCAAGAAACTGGCATGGTGATGTAGGATCAGTGATCTATCCATTTCTCTCATCCCGTTTTGTGATTTCTATGTGAAATTTCGGGGGTGTAATATGGTAATATGCTGTACTTCCCTAGGTTTCAGGGAAAAACACAACCCAGCAGCCAAAAAAAAGACACGATAATCCCTGACAATCCCTCCCCCCCGAATATGAAAAAAAACTGGTTTCGACGTGGATCTATTCATTTGGTGGACGGGACAATCCTCTCATGGTGCCAGGCAATTTTCTTTGCTCCTCGACAGCCGAGAACTACTGAGGTAAAATCGGACCTCGAATCATTGGGTTTCCTGGGGGAAATCCTAAGACATTGGCCTTAAAGAGCTCAACAAAAACAGCTTTAGGATTCAGGATTTATGAAATCTATGAGTTCTTTAGATCTCTTCAAATGCATGGAGACATGTGAAGAAATGCATGAAAGCAGTGACAGCAAATCCTGAAAGGCTGGGCCACGATAGTGTCTGGGTTTTATGTTTAGTAAAACGGGGTGACAAGTCCAGCCAACATGGGGGTACCATATCTTCCAAGGACCTATCTTGTGGGACGTTCCCTAAGATAGATAAGATAAGATAAGATAAGACAAGATAAGACAAGATAAGATATATAGGATAAGATAGATAGATAGATAGATAGACAGATAGACAGATAGACAGATAGACAGATAGACAGATAGACAGATAGACAGATAGACATATCCTGATGCAGACCCGCGCACACACACATATATATATATGCAATATCTTGCGCCCCTCAAGTTTGAAGCACCCGAAATGTTCCACTGCTGTAATGAATTCCGAAGAAACGCATGAGGTGATCACGAAATGTTGGGTATGCCCCACAACCACTTTGAGATATGCGCCTTCAGTTGTACGGGCGTGTCCCAACCTGCCATTTTGTGATGGCACTAAGGTAAATGCTAGCAGAATTGCCGGAGATGGGTGAAGACATTTCAAGAACCCACTTGCGACTCGGCGGTCGCTTTGGGCCATGCCAGTCCTTGTTTTCTTTCTGTGATGTCTCACCAAAAATCAACATGTTGACACAGTTGACACATCATCTCCTAATGACCAGAGTGATTGCCGTGATACCGGAGGAAACACATGGGAAAACTGCTTTTTGGATTCACTGGCACTGGCTCCCGGCTGACATCGGCTGACCCGGGGAAAATCCCCCTGACGAAAAGCGTTGGGTCCTGGTTAGTGTGTCCTTGGTGAAATTGATGATAACTCCCCAGTGGTGCAAAGATTTTAAAACCAACCGAATGATTAACGATGATTCAATCAACACAAATCGTGATTGAACTCAACACATGTGTTTTTTTTTAAGCAACACGAATGATTATCTCCCAATAGATGTTTCAACATGTTTCAACAAAAATCCCAGAGTGCGGATCTTCTGTGCAAAACTTCTGTTTTCCAAAAATCGCAACACATAGCCTCTGGTTATGACTAACATAGCCATGGTTTTTCGATGGCCCTAATTGAAATAGATGGTTTACCGTTCTTAAAAATGGATAAACATGGTGGATCTTTCCATGGTTGTATGTTAGTCATAACCAGAGGGTAACAAAAAACAATGAGTGCTGCGAATCATGATCTCCTTCCTGGCCCTGGTGGCACAGGGCACATAGGGCACACTGACCATGGCTGCAAGTTCACTGACCAGCCGAATGGCTGACGCTGTGATGGGTGGAGCAAGTCACAAAAAATGTGTTTGCCTACCATAAAGCCACGCAACATGCCTAATGGGCATAATGTGTACGGTTCAACTTTGAAAAAATCAAATTCATCCCAACCAGCCTTAAGGAACGTTGGGGATTACTGAGAATCGCGCTGAAACATCATGCGTGCACTGCGACTTTGCCCGAGGCCAAAAGGTAGCGGTAGCGCTGTTCATCCTGTAGGTTGCGTCACCACAACATTCCCGGCCAATCACCACGGGTGTTTCCCAGAATGCACGGATCCCTCGAAACCCGGTGCCCCAAAAATGCAAAGCCAAAAAACTTTGAGCCTCATTTGGCCACCAGATTTCATTTGGTTGGTGCTTTCAAGATTTTTCAACTATTTCCCATTTTCCCATTTTCTCATCCAAAACAGCCGCCTTTTCCTTGTTTTTGACCACCAGCCGCCACCAACCCCTCCGTGATCCGTGGTTTTTTACTCCCCGCGTGGCTCAAAAAAGCGCAACGTCATCGACCACCTCGGCAGCGCTCAACGACGGCCCGCCATGGTGCTGCACTTCGCCCTGCGCCGCGCCGCCACGGCCGCTACGGTGCTCCGCGTGCCGAAGATGCCCAGCAGCCTCCTGCAGGCGACCGGTAAAGCCGCTGTCAAATTGAAAATTATTTATGTATATATATATATGTAAAACATATATATATATAATTATAGTTATATAATTATAGTTATATATAATCAGTTATATAATTATAGTTATATAATTATAGTTATATATAATCAGTTATATAATTATAGTTATATAATTATAGTTATATATATATATTATATAAATCAAACACATATACTTTTTCTTGCAAATATGTACAACTGTTTGCATGTAACATGCATACGTACGTATCTACGTACACGTGTATGTAGGTACATGCATGCTTGCATCCATCCATCCATATATACTCCACGGCAGGCCAGCAGCCACAGCATGCCCTACCTGCCTGTGGATATGGTCTTCCGCTTCTTCCCCCGTTGGACCCGGGACAAGGTGGGACACGAGGGATGTGGCCAGTGATGCACCCTGGTTGCCCTCGTCAAATTCGTCATTTGTAACTTATAACTGGCTTATAACTTATAACCCCACTTACTTGCCAGTTATTAAGTGGGATGATACTCCAAGTATTGCACCCTCCAGTAAACTTTGTAGATCGTATCCTTGGAACCATGGAACTATATTAGTTTGCCTCAGCGTGCTCGGTGACAAGATGCTGAGGAAGGGGGCTACACACAAGTCGGCTCATTTCAGGGTGGTGAGTTATTATGAATCATCCAGATGACATGATATTGATGCAGATATCATGTCATAGGACAAACAGTGAAGTTATAGACATGATATTTACACACACATACATCCATGCATGCACCCATCCATACCATACATACATACATACCTACATTACATTACATTACAATACAATATTACATTATATTACATTATGCTACATTGTACTACATTATACAGGACAGTACTACATTATTTTTACGTTATTCTACATTAGCACATTATATATATATATGCATGATCATATATTTTGGACATGGCATGACATTTGGTCCGGTCAAATCTGGTCTTCATCATAATTTTAGTTTTGTGCTATCCCTCAATTTTCAAACTGTGACAATTTTTGCAGTGTATGAAACCATCTACATTGCCTCAATAGATGTCGTTGGTATTTCAACAACATGATGGTTCACCATTGACACGGCCATATTTTTTGTCAGGCGATCATTGATATGATGTTGCTAACGTCATCGTAACAAACATGATGTAATTTTACAAATAAAACATAGTCTCTAGTCTTGAACCATCCTTGTTCAAGGCTTCCGCTTTTTCGGCATTGGCTGGACTTTTTCCGTGCACAGGTGCGTTTCTTCTATTGGTACTACCTGGTCTCTTTCTTGACGGGTTTCTTGGCGTAACACTGATGACGACCACGATAATGGTGGTGGTGGTGATGATGATGACCAGCATTTTTGTCACACCATGATCGCTTCCATCATTGTTGTGATGTTTTTCTCCACATGATAATAGCACCATTTACATAATCAACTAATCAATACTGCCAGTTGGGACTCCGGCTACACGTTTGCCCCTGCCGAAAGATGGGTTAACCGTTTTCATCGGCTGCGAGCTTGACATTGCGGAAGCGTGGTCAGGTCTTGGTATTTTGATGGGCTACTTCCACACACCATATGTGGGCGACAACTACGATCACTTTGCTGAGACCCCCCTCTACCTCTGGGCCGGCATCTCAGTGTTGTGAGTCAGGGATATGGATTGAAATGTGGCTCTGAACTTGATTGGTGGCTCCGTGTGGCTCCTGATACATCTTTACACTGTTGACTCTGGTCTTATCCCCACTCGGGACTGTTTGATGTGGGTTGGGCCAATTCTATAGGCCTTCCGGACTTCGGAAACCCTGAAAATGCTTCAAATCAACAGCGCACCCCGGGGCCGAGACCAAATCGAGCTTGGCGAAAACTGGGCAGCTGGAAGAGAACCTCCGAGTGAAGGTTCATCACTTCTACCCGCAGACTGAGTAGATGAGTAGATGAGCGGAACCATGGATCAGCCCGCAACCTGTGATGCTTCTGATGCTTTTTATTCGAAGAGATTTGTGCTTCCGAAATTTGTGAACGGAACTTGTTGCGGCAGATGTTTGAGAGAAAAAAAATGTCAAGAGGAAGCTAAATAGTGCTGTTTAGCAGGGGTGACAAGGTTGGCAGTGATCACCCCACCGAAAACTTGTAACTTGGTCTGGCTGCAGTCCGATTGTCGTCGGGTGAGTGAAGGGATACCGAATGGGTCACTGCATTCAAGTGGAACTGGGCGGAGGTCAGTTGGAGTGTTGCTCCATAATCAACATATAGATAGATAGATAGATAGATAGATCGATAGATCGATAGATAGATAGATAGATCGATAGATAGATAGATAGAGATATATATATATATACTAGGTACGGATGAGATAGGAGTTGTCGGAGGGTCCAGTTTTTTTGATTTCCCATCTCATGAGTAAAGTATTGTTTTTGCCCTTTGAAGGTGCCAAACTCCTATCTCATGTGGTTCTAGTAGTCATTTGAAGGCTACCTGCATCAAGTTTGTACATTCCCACGGTTTATGGTTTTTAATGCTACAGGCTACAGTTTGGACACATGAGATAGGACTTAGGGCTGATTTGGGGTATGTTCACATAACCCATGTGTTGGGACTGTAGCATCTATATCCCATGAAGAATTCCCATCTCATGGGTTTCATCCTGAGCCATTTGGCAATATGGTAAATGGCTACTGAACGTAACTTTTTTCATTTTCTCGTTGTTTCTCTACTGTTGTTAGCTTTAATAACGGGCAGCGACACGGCTCGCGGAGAACGGACGGCCACGTGTCTCCCTGTTTTTATCTCTAACGGGAAGCGACACGGCTGGCGGAGAACGGACGGCCGCGTGTCTCCCTGTTGTTGCCTGTAACCGGTCTCGCTGTGCACCTCCAGAGGTTCCGACATGGCCTCTGGTAGCTTCCCGTTAAAAATAAGAATGGGGAGTGGGAGCCAGGATGCCCTTCCCCGTGTAAAAGCAGATGAGATAAGACTTGTGGGGATTTGACGATTTGACCAGAGAAATCTAATGGCGCATGGGCGCGGCAAGGGAAAAATAGCGACCTCTAAAAGCAGATGAGATAGGACTTGTGGGGATTTGACGATTTGACCAGAGAAATCTAATGGCGCATGGGCGCGGCAAGGGAAAAATAGCGACCTCTAAAAGCAGATGAGATAGGACTTGTGGGGATTTGACGATTTGACCAGAGAAATCTAATGGCGCATGGGCGCGGCAAGGGAAAAATAGCGACCTCTAAAAGCAGATGAGATAGGACTTAAGGAGATTTGACGATTTGACCTGGGAAATCTAAAAGCATGGGTGCGGCAAGGAAAAAAAAACGACCTCTAAAAGCATGAGATAGGACTTGTGGAGATTTGACGATTTGACCTGGGAAATCTAATGGCACATGGGCGCGGCAAAGGAAAAATAGGGACCACTAAAAGCAGATGAGATAGGACTTGTGGAGATTTGACGATTGGACCTGTGAAATCTAATGGCACATGGGTGCGGCAAGGGAAAAATAGCGACCACTAAAGCAAATGAGATAGGACTTGTGGGTTTTCGACCCTAGACTTTTAATGCGTTTTTGAAAAAATGTTTTTTTTTTTAAACTTGTTTTTTTGGTAAAACGTTGAAAATGAACCACTGAATGTTTCAAAACCGGTTGTGGACATAATTTATGGATAGAAATGCCTTTTGGAAATATCCAACTCAAAGCAAAATTTTACCATTGCAATATTGCTCCTGAACGCGACTTTTTCTATTTTCTCGTTTTATCCCTAGTGTTGTTCCCTTTACCCGGAATCGACACGGCTCGCGGAGAACGGACGGCCGCGTGTCTCCCTGTTGTTGCCTGTCAAGGGGAGCGACACGGTTGCGGAGAACGGACGGCCGCGTGTCTCCCTGTTGTTACCTGTAACGGGGAGCTCCCGGAGGCAATGTGACCTCTCTCGCTGTGCACCTCCGGAGTTTTCCACAAAACTTGTCACGTAATAAAGGGGCGCCAGAATACCCGTCCCCGTGTAAAAGCACATGAGATAGGATTTGTGGGGATTTGACGATTTGATCTGGGAAATCCAAGTGGCACATGGGCGCGGCAAGGGAAAAATAGCGATCGCTAAAACCAGATGAGATAGGACTTGTGGGTTTTCGACCCTGGACACTTAATGAAAGTCACATGCCTGATCATGCCTGGACGCCCTTGCCCGTGTAAAAGCAGATGAGATAGGACTTGTGGGGATTTGGCCTGGGAAATCTAATGGCACGTGGGTGCGGCAAGGGAAAAATATCGACCATTAAATTTTAAAAGAAAATGAGAAAGGACTTGTTGGGATTTGACCTCGAAAAGCAGGCAATGTAACCGGTCTCGCCGTGCACCTCCGGAGTTTCCCACAAGCCTCCGGGAGCTCTCGTCTCAGATAATAAAGGGGCGTCAAGATAGCCTTCCCCGTGTGAAAGCAAATGAGATAGGACTTGTGGAGATTGGACGCTTTGACTTGGGAAGGAAGGGATAAATAGCGACCATTAAAAGCAGATGAGATAGGACTTGTGGGGGTTTGACCATTTGACTTGGGAAATCTAATGGCACATGGGTGCGGCAAGGGAAAAATAGCGACCACTACAAAGCAGATGAGATAGGACTTGTGGGGGTTTGACGATCTGACGTTGGAAATCTAATGGCACACGGGTGCGGCACGGGAAAAATAGCGACCACTAAAAGCAGATGAGATAGGACTTGTGGGGATTTGAGCTGGGAAATCGAGTGGCGCATGGGTGCGGCAGGGGAAAAGTAGCGACCACTAAAAGCAGATGAGATAGGATGTCTGGAGATTTGACGATTTGATTTGGGAAATGCAATGGCACCCGTTGTGTCTCTTCGTTGCGTCTCTCCGGGGAGGCGCTTGGAACTGCTCGCCCCCACAGCTTCACTGCTCAGAACGGTCTGGACGGTCAGCAGTTGCAAACGCCTCCCCGGGGAGACACAACGGAGAGACACAACGGAGAGGCACAACAGGAAAATGATGTAAAGTAAGAAAAAGCTGCATAGCGACCACTAAAAGCAGATGAGATAGGACTTGTTGGGTTTTTTTGACGATTTAAAAACTTGGGCGCGGCAAGGGAAAAATAGCGACCACTAAAAGCAGATGAGATAGGACTTGTGGGGGTTTTGACGATTTAAAAACTTGGGAAATCTAATGGCACACGGGTGCGGCAAGGGAAGAATAGCGACCACAAAAAGCAGATGAGATAAGACTTGTGGAGATTTGACGATTTGATTTGGGAAATGCAATGGCACCCGTTGTGTCTCTCCGTTGTGTCTCTCCGGGGAGGCGCTTGGAACTGCTCGCCCCCGCAACTTCACTGCTCAGAAAATGGACGGTCAGCAGTTGCAAACGCCTCCCCGGGGAGACACAACGGGAGACACAACAGGAAAATGCTGTAAAATGAGAAAGAGTTGAATAGCGACCACTAAAAGCAGATGAGATAGGACTTAAGGAGATTTGACGATTTGACTTGGGAAATCTAATGGCACATGGGAAGGGAAAAATAGCGACCACTAAAAGCAGATGAGATAGGATTTGTGGAGATTTGACGATTTGGGCTGGGAAATCTATTGGCACACGGGTGCGGCAAGGGAAAAATAGTGACCACTAAAAGCAGATGAGATAGGATTTCTGGAGATTTCACGATTTGATCTGGGAAATCTATGGCACCCGTTGCGTCTCTCCGTTGTATCTCTCCGGGAGGCGCTTGGAACTGCTCGCCTCCACAGCTTCACTGCTCAGAACGGTCTGGACGGTCAGCAGTTGCAAACGCCTCCACGGGGAGACACAACGGGGAAACACAACAGGAAAATGATATAAAATGAGAAAAAGCTGAAATGGGACCACTAAAAGCAGATGAGGTAGGACTTGTGGGATTTGACCTGGGAAATCGAGCGGCGCATGGTGCGGCAAGGGAAAAAGAACGACGACTAAAAGCAGATGAGATAAGACTTGTGGGGATTTGACCTCGAAAGTCTAACTGGCACATGGGTGCAGCAAGGGAAAACTATTGACCACTAAAAGCAAGTGAGGTAGGACTTGTGGGGATTTGACGATTTGACCTGGGAAATCTAATGGCACATGTGTGCGACAAGGGAAAAATAGCGACCACTAAAAGCAGATGAGATAGGACTTGTGGGGATTTCACCTGGGAAGTCGACCGGCGCATGGTGCGGCAAGGGAAAAAGAACGACGACTAAAAGCAGATGAGATAGGACTTGTGGGGATTTGACCTCGAAAGGCTAACTGGCACATGGGTGTAGCAAGGGGAAGCTATTGACGACTAAAAGCAGGTGAGATAGGACTTGTGGGGATTTGACGATTTGACCTGGGAAATCTAATGGCACATGGGTGCAGCAAGGGAAAACCTTGGCCACTAAAAGCAGGTGAGATACGATTTGTGGGGGTTGACCCGGGAAATCTAATGGCACATGGGTGTAACTAGGCAAAAAGATGGGCCACTGAACGCATGTGAGATAGGTTTTTTTTTCTAGAACCATTGTAATGTCCTATCTCATCAGCCTTTGCTGCTGTCACAAAACATGAAGTCCTGCTCATTTATCAAGGTGTTTTTTCAGACTTGCATTCAGGTCTCAGAGCGGGTTCAGCGCACATGAGTTGGGAGTTTTGGCAAATCCCAAGTACCAAAACTCCTAACTCATGTGGCTATTCTAGCCAATTCCCCATAGGCGCTTCAAACAGTGGACACAAGAGATAGGACTAGACCCCAGCAAGTCCTAACCCATCCGGGGCCACAAGTCCTAACTCATCAGTACCCAGTATATATATGTTTATTTAATCCAAGATCTCACCTGTTCACATCCCATTTCTCCGAAAGTTTGACCTCACTGATTTCCCACGTTTGTTTCCCCGAAAAATCCCACCATACTGTGGATGGA